ACACACACACACACACACACACACACACACACACACACACACACACACACACACACACAGAGAGAGAGAGAGAGAGATTGTTGTCAAATTTATTTTTTGTCTGCTCCTTCCTCTTCCACAGTCTAAATGCTAATCCAAACACTTGAATCAGTATCTTTTTTTTTTTAAACCTGACCGATGCAGAGATATCAGGATACTGCAGCATCCATCACTTTTAACATGCTGATAAGAAAAAAAAACTTTAACTCTAAACCTTTTGTTATATCTTACTGATTTTTTTTCTTCTTTTGCTTCTTGTCTGACGGCTTTTAAATGAGAAATAATTTATTTGAAGTCTCTTTGTTGTTCAGCTCTTAAATGTTGTTATCTGCATAAAAACTCAGGTCTTCATACCAACAAATTTGTAGCCATTTGAAGTTCTAAATCTGTGTTTGTGTTTATTTTGCACTGACTCTAGGGTTTGGTCAGGGTATGACCCTTTTTTTTTTTAGCTCAAAGTCAAAAGCTTTAAAGCCTCACATGTTTTTCATTACAGATATAAAATTTGACATTCAGTCATTTTAAAGACTGCTTCACTTCTGAAGGAGTCTGGATGTGTTCAATAATCCTTTTGTTTATTTGAGTGATTCAGCTCCATTATAAGAATACAAGTTCAATTCAGCTGCTTTTTATTTTACTCAGAAAAACTCTACTGTCCAATACTTGCCTTTGTTTTGTGACTGAGTGAATGTCTAAAAAACACAAACAAGTGAGACCTTTAGAAGTACCAAACCACAATGTGCATTTATTCAAGTCAGTAAGTTTGAAATAAAAGCCTCAGCCTGTGTTTATGTAGATTTTTTGATAAACTCCATATTTTGTTGATTTGCAGAAGAATTAGCAATTCTGTCCTGCTGCTGGCGACAAATATCAATCATCTTTATCATTCTAACATTCTAACTCATCAGAAGGGTACAATACTAGCTGACCAAAAATATTAGCTGTTGTAAAATAGCAAAACTCTATATACAACCTAGCATGTTTTTTTGTTTGTTTGTTTGTTTGTTTTTTAGGTTACTAGTCACTCCAGTGAAGATCATGAGGTCTTGCTCTTCAGAACGGATCAGTCAGGTCGGGCTTGGCCAGTCAAGGGTCCCTCAGGACCTCAGGAGCCCCACGGAGGTCGACGGAAGAAGAAACCGGTAAAGAGAGCAAGAGAAGATGGGTGGAAGAGTAGGAGCGTTCCAGCAGAAATAAAAGTTTTGCTGATAATGTTGATCATATGGTGAAGCAATAAGATTTATTCATCACCCATATTTAAGATAAAATAAGTTGTTCTCTAGAGATTTTTTTTTTGTTTCCCAACCTCAACCTCCAATTTTTTTTATTTATTTATTGATTTAATGAATAATTTAAAAAATATATTTGTTTTTTGTGCTTACCACCTTTTTTTTCTGCACCCGTGGTGTAACCTCTCCTTTCAGATTGAGACCCACGCTGACGGGCAGCGTGTGCGTTACTTCCAGGACGATGATAACATCGGTCTGCAGGAGATGGTGAGGAGAGAGAAGATGAGCTCTGCCCAAGATCAGAACGCCCTTTACTCACGTATGGCTTCAAAGGTAAGAAATCTGTTTAGCTCAAGGTTCCACAGCAAAACTTTCTCAAACGTGAAAAATTTAGTTTAAGCGAGGGGCTAGAAATCCATTAACCATGTTTCAGACATAGCATCATTCATGATAAAGCCTTCTTATGAAGTACCCCTTCTTGCCACAACCCTGTGAGGTAGGGCTGCCACAAACGATTATTTTTATAATCGATTAGTCACCGATTATTTTTACGATTAGTCGACTAATCG